CCCCCCATAGTAGTAAACAGCACAGGATAAAGTAAACTTCTCAGCCCTGGAAACAAAATTTGTATAAAAAGCATTAAGGGAGGAGCTCTGAAGGTGCAGTAGTGGAGGCGTTTCTCTACACAGATTAAACCCAGACACTTCATAGCATGACTGAAGTTTTAAATAATGTATTTATCATTTCATTCCAGTAATTTCAAAAGCAGAAAGGCTGAACTGCTAGGAGTATCATAAGAATCAAAGACTTAGCTTCACAGCTCTAAACCAGCATGATACAAGACAAGTTCCTTTTTTAATATTTACATATGCTAAATAATACATCTTACACATGGGTTTTGGTTTTCAATCCTCCTGCTGGTTTCATACTGTGATGGAAAGTCATTCATGCATGGCACAAAGCAGAAACATTACCAGTTAAAATATAAATGTTCTCAAACCATCCCTAAGACAAAATGATAAACCGAAAGAAACCAAGTCAAACTTCTGATTTCACACAGTTCAGTACATATTCCAAAAATTTAAACTTCTAGTACAAACAATTACTATTTTTACTTAGAAAAAATAAAAACTGTGAACACATTCTGATGGCCAGTTTTCTACAATAATTTGAGCAAGAACTATAAATGATGTCTTTGCCTTCCTAGCTACATTGCCATAGTTCAAGTACAATGAAGCACTCACAAAATAAAATCCATTTATCCACCTTGCAAAATGTAGTGAATAGGGATATTTTAAGATTATTAGAACCACTCTCAATCTTTGCTGTTTGAAATATCACCATTACATCACAGATAAAACTAGCACAGAAATTACATTTTCCTGTATGTGACCAATTTAATGTCAGCAAATCAGCAAACATGAAGTTAACATTCCACTGGTAGGAATAAAAGCTCCTACTGTGCACACTTACCACCCATACACCACGTTCCAGTTTGATGCATACTCAAATAGAAAAAAACAAACAAACAAACAAAAAAAACCCCAAATCAAATATATCTTTCATCTTAAAATATATTTTATGACAAATTTCCCAGCTGAAAGTAATTTTCCTTTCATGTGCAACATACAGAGAAAAGCATTTCGTCATATTTTTTTATTTTCAAATAACCAAGAAGAATGAATGGTAGTAAATCAAGAGTTTTTCTGCTTTTGATCTATGTTTTAAGAACAGATTACCCCTCTCCAGCACTACTGGTTTTCCACATGCATAGTCTGAAGCAACTGAAGTGCAAGTTAATGGAAAAGTTACTTTCAAGTATGTGGAGAAAACACACTTTCAAGTGTGAGTTTACTGTAACATTCTGATATTGCAAATACACCACCTTATCAGACTCTTGTGATTACCTCCTTCACAGATGAGTATTGGTGTAGCATTGTAGCATAAAAATTAACTGCAAACGAGTTCTAAGTAGTACATGATGTATGGCTTTATTGGCTATTCTCTCTACAAGACACATACACACTACTGGCAATTCTATGTTAGAATGTTAGAACAATTACTTTAAGAAAATGCATTAGATAAGATAAAAAATCAGCCAGGGAAAGTAGAAAATGTATTTTATTTATATGGAAAGGGCTACATCTGGATTTGTAAAAGGTCTGTTGATAGTATTATGTTGCCCACACATCAAAAATCAGTTGTCAATAGCAATAAAATGGTTACATATATTTCTACATATCAGTGCAACTAGTTCACATTGTGATAAAATTATGTCAAGTATGCAACAGAATCAAATCCAAGTGTTTCTCCATAATCAGCACACAAAGATTTAGAGTGCAATGATCATTTTAGGTTTTAAGAAGTCTGCAGTCAGTCTTCAGAGTATTCTAATGAGTGAGATACTCCAATTATTTTCACTATTAGCAGTTTCACCTTGTCAATACTGTGCACAAGCAAGTCTAAAATAAAATTACTTACAGTGTAAATAAAATAGTCTATACAGTAAAAAAAATACAAATTATATAAGAGAACTAACAAAAAGAAACTTGAACACACTTATGAAACAGAGAAGATACTTCAATGACACACATACAGTACTCATCACATGAAAAAAGCTACTTTTCCCAGCAAAAATTGTTTCACTGATTTACAACTGAATTATAGATCTTGTAGTCTGAAGATGCAGCTGTTCAACTCTTAAAAACTATAATAAATGTCTTCTGTAAAGCATACAAAGAGGATAAATATTCTTACCAAAGTCATAAGGTTATTTTCAGAAGTTTGTCCTCTCTTGCTCCAGAAACACTTACATGGGTGAAAAAAAATTCAAGGGGTGTCACACTGAAACCATAAACTGCTCCATTTCCTTATAATTTTGAAAAAACCTAGAATTTACAGTACTCTGTGGTATATGAAAATGTCTTCAAAAGTTTACATTGCATATTTCTGAGTCCATTCTCTTGCATGTCTGTTGTATCTGTACGTGCAGAAAGAAGGCATTACAGTGAAGAACTGTTAGTGATACATTGACAATGGCCACTTATTTACTTAATATAGGTGTTACTGAGCTTTTCACCTCTGAGCAGAGTCAAAGAACATTGACACAGTCTAAAAGCCAAGAAGTATATATCCACTACAAGTTAAATTTCTAAGGTTACCTATCATAGCTATTCAGACTCAAACCCAACTTCACAGGTTTGCATTGAATTGCACAGCATTGTGCATCCTTCATTTGTGTTTCACAACTGGTTCCCTTATTTGTACCTAAACAAGAATTTGTTGTCAAATTGCTCCTAAAGGCATATGCTATTAAGAGTCTAACAAAATTTACACATTTTAGTTCCATAAAATTCAGTATAATTAACTAGGATTTTAGTCTTCATTATGCACTGCCAGCTGCATTTCAGAACTTGAAAAGAAAATTTTCCAAAAAGCATTTTTTACTAGGTTTTAAGTCTTCGGCCTTTTCCTTCTGGTACGAAGCTGATCATCTTTTAATTCCATAATCCTAAGGATAAATGTCCTTAGAAAATTGATAGCTTCCCCTCTGGTCCTTACTTTTACCACACTCTATTTTTTAGACTGGATTTGTTTTCTTGAGTCATCCAGAGAACAATATTGACAAGTTTTTAACTCTTTTTCTTAAGATCAGTATAGCAACTCATGTACTAATTGGTTTTCTTCTAAAGAATATGCTACCATACAAGTCTTTGGATCTTTACTTATAGTAAAATACTCATAGATAAATGCTACGGGGTAACCAACCATATCTTTAATCTCCTAAATCCAAGAAAGAACAAAGAAAAATTTAATAGGTCATCATCATAAAAAGATAAAGCTATAGTCAAGACTACACATTTTCTCACTTTCCCTAGCAATGATTAAATTTTGAGGTTTGGAAATAGAAAACCATCCCTCATTCACATCCTCCACAAACAGGAGGCACAACAGCTGAAACCACTAATAAGCAGGTGGGTGGAAAAACGTTGAGTCACAAATGGGAAGAAGCTGATGCACAACATCCTCAACTTGAACACTACCTACTCTGCAGAATAGACTAAAGCATTCAAGCACTTCAGAAGTTACGTGATTTGACTATGCCAGACAATGAACTGTGAGGAAAAGGCCATTTTAATAATTCTTAGTCTAGGCAGAGAAATACTAGACACAGACATCCATGTAACTTCTACATCACTCCTTTGATGTCTACTGCTCAAGGTAAAAGCAATACTCAAATCTTCCTGAATCTGTGACATGATGAGCCACAGGCCACTGCATACACTGCAAGAAGTCTTCAATGGCTCAACACTAAAAAACAGGTACCAAACATCTCAGTGAAACAGGTCAAAAAATCTTCTGTACAGGTTTTACAACCGGAGGATTGCAGTAGCAACAAATAATTAATATTTGGGAAAATGATTTCTCATGCAATAAATCAGTTACACAGAAGTGTGAAGGTTTTATGTAACTAAGTATAAAAAAAATCAGTTACCAACAGTTGTGTATGCCTATAGTTTTCTACTGGATCCATCACTATTCTCAATATATAAAGAGCTAATCCTGTAGAAATCTAGGAAAAGAGTATTGCTAAAGTTAGTATTGAAGGTGCATAGCAGATAGACATCTGCAAGTACCACACACAATTATGTATATTATACTCACTTTTCCTTGTCTGACTTGTAGATCTGTGCAATATCTGGTACTAAAGGATCATCTGGATTAGGATCACAAAGTAAGGAGCATATGGACAATAAAACTAAATAAAAGAGACACTAGATTAAACAAGTTAGTTTGCTTTATTTCTGTAATTCTTTAATATATTCCAGTATACTGAAGGAGGGTGGTAGGAGGGTATTGGAAAAAGAACACATATTAGTATTAAGCTGTCATTTAACAGTTCTGTGCAAAAATCTTTATACAGCATCATTTCTCTAGGGCCTAAGACCTGACACAAGCCCAGGGAATTTGAACATGAACCTGTACCTTTTGTAATGATCTCTCTCCCATATCCTAGCCTAGGAACGTTAGCCAACCTACAGACTACACAGTTACATGTAAATATTTTCTCAAACTAAGCTTTCCACCTGCAGTTAAGGTAACTAATATTATTAATATTACATTGCCATACAGTACTCTATTTGTGCATATCCTTTTCCATTTCTGTGCTGGCAGTTATTCTCTCAGTCATATGAATATCTTATCTAAGTGTGAGTTCCATTTTGGGAAATACTTGATCTGCATTAAATACAGGTATTCACTTATAATTTCATATTAATTTCCTGGTATTGAACCAAGGAGGTTTGATTTGTTTTCCTAATATTTTCAGGCCATACTTTTCAGGACAATTTTTATTTTTACAGTCAGAATTAATATGCATACAAGAGTACACAGTGAAATAATTCTAAATATGTGAAAGGGAACTTCATGCTACCATAAGAATTCACTGTAGAATACCTTTTTTCCCCCCATGCTTTATCTTGTTACCCAAGAGCCCACACCTATTTTCAGGAGGAGAAAGTTCAGCCACTTCAATATTGACTTGTTTTAAATGCCAATAATATTAGAAAATCAGGTTAGAATATACGGTCATATACATGGTCAGAGGTGCTACAATATTCTAGAAACTTTTTATTCAGCTAAACAAAGACTAAAAAGGAGAAACTTCCATGAGTCATTGAGCTAATTTCCAGTTTATGAAATACATAAAATGCAAGCAGGCTAAAAGCACAGAATATCTGAACATGAGACCAGCAGACCGCTCTACATTTATAACCAAGGAAGTGCTGAATAAGTAAAGAGATAGAAAAATGCTGAAGATCTAAAAATCTTACGAGTTTTCAGTTGTAGATACCAAGTGTTAAACCTAAGTGCCAGTTTTCATTTGCTTAATAACTAGAAAGGAGACAATTTTTGGACAATTATAAAACACCCAATTTATGTGAAAAAAATATACCAATTACACATAAGAGTAATTGATGTCTTCAGCAATGACTTCAGGAAGCAGTATTAGACTTAGATTTTATATGGGTTGTGCGATTACTGCATAGGGCTGTAAGCATGAGAAGTTGTTTTTCCAAGGAGGTACAGCAACTGGACTTGCATAGAGCAATTCCATTGGACAAAGACACACCATTTTGTCTTTGCTTGTACACCCAATGCAATTACACTTTGGCACATAGCTTAGAGAGCTCCCAAGTACATGAGATATGATACAGCTTGACCTTTTGAGTCACATGAGAAATTTCCATAATATGATTAAGTGTGCCTTAGCATTTTGAAGATGGGTGAGGAGAAACAACAGCACCTACATTTTAAGCAGCTTTTGAAGTGACACAAAATACCTGCAACAAAAGAACTGCTTAAATGTTAAATTAATCTTCCAAAAATCTACAGTGTTCAAGTTTTGAGAAAGCTTAACTACAGGATGAGAATATTTTAATGAAACTTTTACTGATGACTGTGAAAGGAGCTACATTTTAAAATACTCATTTTACAAGGGAATGTAAACTAGAAGAAATTATCTCATTTTAAAATAAAGTGTAATTAAGACCTTAGTCCATACAAGGATGCTCAGACAACCCAAAGAGTCATCAATAGGCAATTGTGTAAGCTCATACAACATCAGCATCAGGGTTTCACATTTGCTTCCAAGTTGTCATTTAGATGCCCTGCTTATCAGTTTATCCTCCATTCAGCATGCACAGCCAGCTATAACATTTCAGGCTAATTGTACATTTATTATCTTACCCAACTTGGTTTAGAATACTTCTTTACTGTATACACATTTATTTTTTTTTTGTAATGTGACACTCCCAATAAACTGGACGGGATCTTGGATCATAACAAGAATTCCAATGGAATTTGCCTCTTCTGAAACATGCAGGATAAAGGAGTTCCCACTGCTACCTTTAAGACAGTGTAATAATACACAAAAAAAGTGCCATGGCAATGTATGCAGCTTCATAAATGCATTATCAAATCAGTTTACCTTTAGAAACAGTCAGAGCTGGTGACCATTGTGATCTCAAGATATCAAGACAAATACTCCCATTACTGTTTATGTTTGGGTGATATATTTTTGTTGTAAAAGCAATCTGCAATAAAAATAACATCAGATTAGGGTTATTACACTTGGAATCCTTAACATCATCCCTTCCTTTCCAGTCATCAGATCTGCCAACACAATTTTTTTAGTCTTATCTACATCCATGATGAACATGTATACTATTGCTCACCTTTCTGGCTTAACTCGCAAAATTAAGTCTCAAAGTATAAATTTTGACAAAAAAACTTTCCTTAAAAGAAAGGACTTACCTTTGGTGGTTTGAAAGGATAGTCTGTTGGAAAGTGCACTGTGAGAAAAAATACTCCCCCTTGATATGCACTATCAGGCTGAGAAAAAAACAAAACACATAAAACATATTAATATATTTCAGCTGTTTTGGAGCTTCCCTTCTCCTAGAGAAAATCCATTTTTTTCCCCAGTACATAGTCCACTATGGGCCATAAACTGGAAAGGCACAGAGGGAACTGAACCCTCACATTGGCCTGCAGAGCTACTGCAGAGCCAACTGTGGCTACTACTGCAGCAGCACAACAGCTATGGAAAACTGCCCTTCTGGGGAAAAAAAGAGAGAGATCAACAGCTTCACTGCACTGAAGGGAATAAAAAGCCAGAGCAAGTCCTCCAAATCCTTTCTCCGTGCAAGACCACAGCTGCTCATCCATTCTTAAGCTACAAACATACCTAAGAAGTGGTTTCTCTTTGCAGATGCAGAGTGGGATTTCCCAACATAATTCAGTTCATCATAATGGTATCAGAGAATTTTAAAATACACATCTTTATGACCTGTACAAATCTGTGAACATGCATTTTGTTAGACAACATGTGCACAGGTTTATGTCCAGGTAGCACACAGTTCATAGAAATAATTTTGTTGTAGTCATCTGTTGAAGAACTTTCATTTTTATTAACTAAAAAAGGTGACCTGGAAAGTCTTGAGGCTAAGTGATAGAGAGCAGTTCTGCCATTTCTGGTTAAGAGAAAGAAAACTGCTCTCATTACACAGTAAGTTTACAACAACCATGTAGGAACTCAATTGCAGCAAAGCTGAAGATCAAGTTTTTGGGTTTTCTTATGAAAGGAAAGGCAGACTACTTTTAAGTAAAAGCTTTACCTTGGAAATGAACAGTTTTAGAGATGGCAATATGACTGTAAGAGGCGATGTCACAAATGGTCTGCTAAGCCATGCTGCCTTACATGCTCAAAGTGCAGAGAGGGCTGCAGAGTAAGATAGGTTATACACTGTCATGCTAAGTCAGCATTAGGTGACCTCAGAAGATTGTCACTTTACTTCCAATTAGGTTTGAAAGGACCTCTTGCATACTAAATGGATTTTTCAAAGTTACAGTAAGCTGAAGATGAGAAGTTCAGTGTCAAAAAAGGCAAAGTGAATTCACCCTGTTTTATAAGCAAGGTATGTAAAACAAATTGATGATGTCCAGAGACAGAACATACTTCCACACACAGGAAGTGAATTCTGAAGGTAGGCTTTAGTTCTATGCTTCCCTCAGGTCATCAGGAAACATACAGAATGTGCAGCCCTCATTTCTTTTGTTATTAAGATAAAGGATTAATATGTGAAGTGTTCTGTTCCTATATATCTGCAGATACAACTGAGAAAAGCTGGCAAGAGATGATCATTCTTATTCTTAAAAAGAGACATCTGAGGAACTTAAAGCAAATAATATTTTTCACTACTGAATATGAAAGCTGAACTGCAAGCTGGAAAAGAAAATGGAATTTAACCCAAAATTTATGTGGTAGTATGTCCTTTACTCATGTCATAAGAGTCATTCAGGACAGACATTGGTGGCAACCAGCACACAAGCTTTTGTTAACTCTTTGTCATCACTTTGCCGTTCATCCTCTGGCAGTTTAAGAGGGCAAGAGTCAGAAGGCCTTGGTATGGGGAAGAACATACCAACATACTTGTTATTCAAGCAAAAGGGCAAAAGCATAAGCATACTACAGAAAACAGTTGCTGCTGGGCCATGGACAAGTTGGACAATAGATTCCAGCACACCACAAGCAAATTAGTGCCTGATCTTTCACTGCTTGAGAACAACTGTGCTGAAAATGGAAGATTACTCTCAAAACAGACACATTTCCACTCTTCTCCAGGATTTAATGCTGCATCTTAATGGATTAAGTATTATCTCAAAATTTCACCTCACATCGTGACTCACCTCACTCTCCAAACTAGTGACTCTTCTTTCCAAAATATTAAATCCAAAAGGAAAACACTAGGAATACAAACTTCTTACCAGGATATTAATAAGCACACCTTCCCTCAGATAATGTTGTTCTTTATTATTTTTCTTGCTAAAATTATTCTCAGTTTTCCTGGTTTTAAAGATTTTTTAAGTCATTTCTTATGTCATTACCTTCACAAGAGTCATAATTTCCTCAACTCATGGAAAGCACCTTTCTTGCACAAAAACCAACAAAAGCACCCCACTGCTGGCCTACAAAAGCCATATGCAGAAACTTTGCAAAAGTTTGCAAAAGCAACATGCTTTTACCAGTCACATCACACTATCAAATAAAATCAGCTCTATCTAAAAGCCCTCTTCAACTCCACTCTTGTTTACAGTTTACCGACTTCAATATTAGATTTCACCCACTCTTCCTCCTTTCAGATAGAGGAATCTTTCATTATTGATATGACTGTCTATGAAAAGCAAGCTCTTTGCTTTGCAGTCCGGATCACCAACTCAAACACCACAGATGACTAATTAAGCAACTCTTAACTTCATGAAGAGGAGGGATTTTTGAGTTACAAAAAGCAACAAAAGTAGCAGACTAACAAGAAAACCGTATCACCCTAAAGTTCCAAGCTACACTCAGCCCAGCTGAATGTGGCTGTTGTGTTTACAGAAACCCAAATGAATCCTTCTGTAACAAAGGAGAAGCAAGGTCTTATATTTTAAGGGGCATGATTCCTATACTTACAGGTCCCATAATAGTTGCTTGCCAATGAAACACTGAAAGGCAAAAAGATACAACAATTAGAGATTTTCTGAGCCTTTTCAGACCTGAAATTACTGAATGTACTAGGAAAGCTTACAGTCATCTCCAACAGGTCCAGCAGAACAGTGGGCTGGTGGATCTCGCTGCAGATCACTTAGTTCCTGCAAGAAACACAGACATATTTGAAAGACATGAAAATCTATACCACTTGGCAGCATCCCTTCAAAAGTGGGAAAACAAACCAATTTTATTAAACCCATGGGCATTTTTCATGCTATTTTGATAAAACAATCAACACTTGAAAGGTCCATTGAAACGGAGAAAGTTTATTTGCCAGATGGCCTACAGCTAACACTGTGCTAGAAATTCATATCTGAAAGAATTTAAGACAGTTGCAACCAAGTTCATAGTAAGTTCAGCATACTTGAAGGAAACAAAACAAATAAAAAGGGTTTCTTGATTAGCCTGTTTCTGTATTGTCCTAGTCTATGGACATCAACAGAGCTAAACTGCAGCCTGCCTGGAAATGATGTAGGAATAGAATATAAAGGGTCCTAACTAAATTTGAAACAAAAGGAAAAATACTAGCTCTACACCTGATTTATTGTACCTTGATTCAATTCCCTGCATGCCTTTTTTTTTTTTTTTTTAATGACTACTTAAAAACTCCCAAGTTGAAACTTAAGCACTCATAGGAGCTTTTGGTGGTCAACTGATTTATTTCTATTGCATGAGTCCACACAGTCCCAAGTAATTTAAAATTATTACGTGATTTCACAAAACCAGCTCATTTGATTTATCATCACTATTTGAAACAGAAAACAAGACAGGCAGTAATGTTAGCTCATTTTCCTCATTGAATTCAATATACTCCTTTTGATATCTGAACTTTTATTGTATTAAGGACAAACAACTTTTTCCAGCTCTAGGCTGACAGAAACTGGGCTGTGAGAACTTTAACAACTACATGCAAGTACTTCCTTTGAAATAAGTTAAAAGATGTGTGTTAAACCACTGTTTCTAAGTAACTCAGTTCCTTACTCAAAACATGCAATTTAAGTCAACAATAGATACAAGCAGGTGAGTTTACCTTAAGAAGTAACACTGGAAACATTTCTATTCAAAATATATTAATCAAGGAAACTACTTACAAAATCAAGGTTTAAAGGAGCGAAGTTTAACTCAAGTGTAGAATTGGTGTACTCGTTGTGATCAGACCTTACATTTAATTTGAAGGGTTAAAAATCTGCACTTCTCAACTGCTGTGATATATTTTTCCATTTATGACATCCAGTAAATATTTAAACTCAATTTACTATGGATCTGACACCTAAATTCAGCCAAACTTACAGGTGCACTCTTGGCCCTGAAATCAAAGAAAAGCACGGCACCATTTCTTACTACTGCAAGTCACTTCTCACAATCCTTGCCATTAAAATAAGAGAGACACTTTTTAATATACTGCAATAGCTCAGGTTATCAACTGGCATTACTTGTCTGCACTTTATTATGTTGGCGACACTGTATGCTGATCCAGAAACAACATTCTGGGCTAGACTGTAACTAAAAAAGGAACTTTAGGGGTGCACTTTCCCTTTTAACTTGAGGATTCAAATTTCATTAATGAGCGATTCAGAAAATCACCTATTTATGCAAAGCCAAGCCACTGCCAGGACGCACAGGGAATCAACAAATCTTCAGTTTCCAGCAATCACCAGAGGCAAACATGACCAGCAGCAGAGATGTTACAGGCACTGTCTTCTCTAATTTGCAACTCAAGATCTACCCTAACGGGACAAGATCAGGTCTTGTACACGCACTTAACCCAACCAAAACAAAACAGCTACATTACAGTGCTGAAACAGAGAACTCAGACTAACAATCATGCATTTTTTAAGTCATTAATGACTACTAGATTCAAGTCAGTAACTGGAAAAAGATGTAGCTTAAACTTTTCAGAAAGTCTCTGAAGTATACGCAAACATTCCAAATGCATATAGGAACTACCAGGCAACCACTTAGAGTCACAAGTCTGTAACAGTGCTTTTGTTGCTAGATGTATTCATCAAGATCTTTACATACCCCAAAACCATAAAAATTTGTTTTCTTTGATATGTATGTAAGTACTTAAGAATTAACAGAACTGTAAAATGCTCCTTGGGTATACACTTCAATTTGATCAAGCTAAAAAGGCACTGACATCTATCCATGATTAAAAAAAAACCAGCAAATATTTTTAATCCTATATTGATAAGACCCAGAACTATAAACCCCTGTTATAAATTTTTCCTAACAACAATGAAGTAAAGGTTCTCTTCAATAAACTTCACCAAATGAGAGCAATGTTAACAAATACATTAAGAGAGCTTTGGCATCTATGAAACACAAAGCCAGATCAAACTTCAAACTCAGTAGAGCAAATTCAAGCTGTATTTAGCATCCATATGTGAAGCTAATGTGGTTTAAAAATACAAGTGGTAACATGATCCAACAGTATGAACAGTTTGAACCTTTACATACAGAAATTCAGATCAAGCTGTGATAAAAATGAAGAACTATTCAGATTTATATTGTTGATTATGATGTTTCAGCTTTGGGTTCAAAGCAAAATTATCTGGAGAGCTGTAAGATTTAAGCTTCAAGCTTTCCTACACCTTTTTGAAATCGGGCAAGGAGATACTCAAATGTCCCTGAGTGCCCAGAACAGTGCCCAGACAATGCAGAGAATTGAACACTGCAGAACAGAAGTGAGGATCCTCTAAATAAATACATGTAGAAAAACTTCTTCATGACTTTACGTATTCACAAAAAAATGAGACATTGAATAAAAGAATTCTTTATATGAAGCACAGATGCTCTTTAGAAGGAGGCCAAATTTTGCTTTTTTTATGGAACCAGGCTGAAGACTCGCAAAGCTTAATGTGCCCAAACATCATCAAGAAGTGCACGATAACTGCATGTGGGGCACTACACAGACAACACTAGAGATTCACCTGTAATTTTAAGTTAATTGGTTACAACAGCTTTGTCCAAGCTTTATGTATTATTCCCACGTAGCTGTATGACACAGGTCTGGTCACTTCAAGGGTCTGCATGAATACTTTTAGTCACTGGTATAGAAAATGCTGATGCAAGACATACATATGCTGACAAACAGGATCTATAGCTCAAAGCAGTGCAGATTCATTTTCAAAAGAGAAAGTCACCACTCTAAATTATAATGTACACTGGTGCAACATCTTTTATGAGAATACACAACCCCAAAATTCTGTCTGCAAGAAATGCATGAGAAGTACAAGTTATTTCAAACACAACACGTATGTGAACACAACAGCATAAAAGCATCTCTGAAGAGCTCCAACACATGCCACACTATCCCAGTACAGGTAGGATAAATGTGTATGGAGAAAAATACCTAAGCTGGGGACAGTGGTAGGAATGAATCTTCTAATCCTCTCATACAAACCATTTCAGGGTAGAATAGAATACTAATGGTTAACATACTACTGGAGATGGGCAAAGCCTCCAAATTATCACCTTCCCTTGCACTACACACACTCCTGAAAAGCCCTGTAGATAGCATGAAGTAAAAATTCAAGTTTAACAGCTGTAAAAAACAAGCTGTGGTAATCTATAAACATTGGAGACGTTTCCAAATGTGCAGACTAATACCCATGGTCAAAGAATAATACAGGATGTATTTCATAAAAGTATGAAGACTGCAAGGCAAATTTAACACTCACATGCTTGATTAGCATCCAGGCTTCTCTCCCAAAAAGCTATTGGAACAACACTGTAAAGGATACTTTGGTGACAAGGAAATAAACGTTCTCAGCACAGAAGTCCTAAACATGCCTTTTTTCAGTCTAAAAAAAAAATATTCAGAAAAAAAGACTGCAAATTATCTGAAGACAAAAATAAATTGCAGACAGCATCACTGAAAGCTATTTAGCTATTTTCATTTTCCTAACAATACAAAACCATAACCAGCATCTTTCTCCACACTATTATTTAAAATATAGATTTCTATTTCTCAGCTATGTTCTTAATTTCTTGCACAAAATGCACTGTAGACCACAGACTCATTTCCTACCAATTCCATGTGTACACTGCTGCTTGGAACCATTTGTCAAAAAAACCCATAGTGATCATACTTAAGACTAGTTAAAGATTTCTCTGGTTCTTCACAAATTTTGTAAATATAAAGCACATATTTATAATAAGATTTATTGCTATAATGTTTAATAAATATTCTATTTCTGTGCATTGTTTTAATGCAAAAAAAAAAGTTCCTAAAATATGTAGTATCACAGCTGAGGTTTTGAAAGCAAACATTTCATGTTAGAGCCAAAAAAATCTCCTTGTCATGTCAATTACCATCTAAAGATTGCAGTTTTAAAGTCAAAATCTAAACTACAAATATCATTAATTTATATTTAAGTCAATTTATAATGACAGAAGTTATTTTCAACATAACTTTTCAAGTTAGTATGTCCTGTTAGACTATGCACATATGAAACACATACTGAACCACAGAGACATATAGTTAATTGAAACAACTAAATGTTTGAATGCTTCTATTCTTACTGAGTTGTAGGAGAAAAACAATCAAGCACTATGTATCAATTAGATAAAACCAACAGCTATTCTTAAAGCAATGTTCAAATCTATCTCCTTTCTGGTTTCAAAATATCTTCTAAAATCTCTTTAAGTCTGATTTTTTTTTTATGCCTGTAAGAAAAATATTTACAAGACAGCCTGAGCATTAGCAAGCACATCAACCTCCCACTAACACTGGAGGAGCACCCAGGTACAGGATGTATGATGAAAACAATCTCAGCTGTGATATGGAACTAAGAGGATGGCAAACTCTGCAAATTAGATATGTGAACAAAGAATTTGGAACAGGAACTCCAGAAAAATGGTTTTGCATAAGACAGATGGACAGAACTGAGACCTACACGCTATTCTGCAGAACCTGACAGCCTGAATTATTTTCCACCTTTCACAAAAGTCATGGTATTTCACTTTCCAGAGGTGGCAAGAATAAAGGCTTCTTTGCACACTATTCTTTCTCAACTAAAACCTACACTATTTGTTTTCCTTTTGTCGTTTGCAGCATCTGGAATTTACAATGCTCACAAAAATGTGTTGTTCCTTCACTGCTTCACAGAACATCACACACAGTGTAACTGAATTTTTTTGACAGTGTAGAAATTCAGTGCCTCCCTCATACAATGACAAAGCAAAGCACTCACAAGGTAAATGAACACAGGATCTTCAACATATGATGAGTAAGAATCCCCTGACCCTAAACTCTCCAAAGAACTCTGAGATTCAGAGTCTGTCATGGAGACACTGCTGACAGCCGTGCCTGCAGAGCAGGGCTTCATATTCTCACTGTTCTTACACCTACAGCACTAAGATCAACATATCTCCATATACAGTGATCAGCTTCTTCACTGGTTGCTCAGTTGCACACTTTTTAAGAAAGCTCCCAAGCACAATGTCTTTCTGTAACTAGGGTACATTCTTGGAAGTCCACAAGCTGTCCTCCTTTGAGAAGTCCCTCAAAGACAATCAACCAAAGCCAGGATGCAACGACGCAGATTCCAGTGGCAGTATTATTTAGAAATCAGAGTCCCAACCCGTATGACAAAAAATATGGTTACTAACAGGTTGATATATTACAGCTTTGCTTCCTTCATAGGTGATGTCATGCTGAACACACAAATTATCAAAACTGCTGCAAACACTCAAGCTTGCCACCAAAATCTCTTAGCTTTGTTTAGGCACAATTCTGAACCACCCTAAACCCAACCAAGCTTAACTTCAGACGGTATGTCTAGACTGACAAGCTCCCAAGCAATACCACTGTGTTTGCTGTCAGCATTTTGTTCTCCAAGGAATTCCTCTAGCATTCTGAAACCACAGCATGTCCTCTACTCCAGATCTTATCCCTTCCATCCCTGGGATACAACATAACTATCAACTTTACAGCCAGTCTGAAACACCAAGGAAAGTAGATGAGATAAACACACCAGCATAAAAATACATTTCATCTACCATTAAACTTCCAGTTCTGTGATTTTCAGGAAAAATTTTATGTGTTACAGAGACATCAAGATAGTTTATCTTTTCAAACTTCTCCATTTTAACTTTCCATTTTAAACAAACCTATTTCCTTGCCATTCCCTTTCATCTTCTACTTCTTCAGAGATAGGCTGCTAGCCAAATCCCTCTACTAGATTTTTTTTCTTCCCCTGGAAATGCATAAGACAGTGATGAGGGTGGTTAATGAAAAAAAAGAAAACCAACAGTAGCCATTTCTGCAGCAAACTAGAAGCAAAGTGGTAACTAGTTGAGAATTTAATCTCAACTCTTCTCGAAGGTCCTTACCTAGTATCTCTTCACGTTTCAGGTAGAAGTTATTGCATAACCAGGAAATCTCATAGCACCTTACAGTCAGCAGGTTGGAAAGCATTCATTTTGAAAGAGTAGAAACAGAATTAATAAGGCTAACAGAATGAACGACACTCACATAAAAAGTCTAACCATAATTTCAAGTCTATCAAAGTTTTTAAATGCCACATTAAAGAAAATTGTGGCTTTCCAATATGTATGAACGTCTCTAAAGCAGAAAAAAAAGTTACGCAGGGAACACGATAAAAGTATAAAGAATAATCCTACTATTTGGGCCTCATTTGGAAAGCCACAAGTGGTGGTTACCACTCCATCTCAAAAATACTAGATTACCAGACCTTCCCCTTTGCCTGTTTACCTTAGCAGAAAGGAGCTGAACAAGAATTGGAAAGAGACGGTATTCAGAACAATCCTTTCCTTGAAGCATGAGAGTAAGGAGATATTCAAGAAATGGTGGGAAATTGAAATGGCAACAAAAGGCAAACCATTCCTATAATACATAGAAGCACAACAAAGTTATTGCTAAAGAAAACCACTGTAGTTATTTGTTAATATTTGATATAATGGTCAAATACAACATTCACTACAAACATATGATACAAAGGTACAAAATTGTCCTGTAATTGCACTACCTGTAAAGGCATAAGCTTTGCAGCATGAGACAGGGCTACCAGCTTCTGGTAGAAATCCATCCAAATAAATCGGTACCTACTGTAGGGTATATCCTAAATCTGCCTACTCTGTGGTTAATTGGTCACTATAGAATCCTACTTCTGCAATACCAAGGGCTTCCAATAGCAAAAGGGAATCCCGCACAAGAAATGACAGCACCACCACGTATCCAGGATAGCACCAATGCCGCCTAAACACGGCACACCGACAGCAACCACACACCACGGGCTCTGTTCCAGGGCCAAAGCACTAACCTTAACTTCCCTCCTGTGCTGGTCTCGATACCCGGTACTGTATAGCGATCAGCTCAGCCTCGCCAAACAAAAGGAAACGAGGAATTCACAACTTGAACCAGGCCATTTGCAAGTACCAGCCCAAAACACTACAGCTGGGATACGTTCAAAGGTCACACCAAGAACTATGCTGACAGCACTTCTTAAGCCAGGCAACATCCTGCGCACACTACGGACCAGCCGTGCACAACAGCAGCGCAACGTGTGGGCGACTGATGCAGTCCCTGTGCCTCAGCTGAAGACTCTCCATTAACACCTCTGCTTCCCCCGCTTCCGCGCAGCCCCGCGGCTGGCCCACAGACGGCGCGTTAAGCACCGACTCGGGGTGCGGGGCCTTCAAGGAGGCAGTGTCCCGAAACCGCACGGCGGCCGACAAGAGCCCTCCTTCTCAGCCTCACACTCAATTTTCTTCCCCGGCTACCGGCGAGGGAAGGACGAATCCTGGCAAATAAAGCGCGCGGCTGCGGCTGCAGCGACACCTCTCGCTGAGCCCGGTCCGGCCACCGCCTCAACCCCCGGCAACAAGGGGGAAGGCAGCTCCGGAGACTGCCCAAAGGCAGAGTGCTCTTTCCGCCCGCTCCCATAGCTCAGCCCGACTCACTTTTTGTATCCGCTTCAGCGCCATGGGAACGCGCAGCGGAAGCGCGAAGCAGGCGGCGGGAGCGCGGCGGGGAGGGGCGGGGGGCGGAAGCGCGCCGTGGAAGCGGAAGG